GTAGAACTAACTGAATGATTATAATGTATATCTAAGAGGGGGAAAAGCCCAAAACAAATCCAAGAACAGCCAAGAATACTTGGGAGAGAGTAATTATGATGGGGATTTACTATACTAAAGAGTAAAATACATTATAAAGCCATAATGCACAGAAATAGCAGACAGATCATAGAGGAAAATAACAAAAAAAATGCTAACATTTATTGAGCAGTTACTTTGTGCTTTACGGGTATTTACATAATTTAAATTTCATACAATTCTGAGTTATATAACTACTATTATTATCTTCACATCTAAAGCTGAGATTCGAAGAGGTTTAGTAACTTGCTCAGAGTAGTATAAGTATGCGTTAGAGCAGGAATTTAAACCTATGCTGATTCCAGATTCAGTGTTCTTAATTAGCAAAGTTTAATTCTAGGAATTTAATCTTATATAAATAAGGCTATGTAAAAATATTTAGATACACAACTGCTATTCACAGTATTGTTATAAGAGCCAGAAGTTAGAACTAATCTAAATATCAAGCAACAGAGTATTGGTAAATATAATATACTTCTATAATTAAAGACTGTATGTGGTCATTTGAAATTATGTAGGAGAATATTTAATGACACAGTAATGAGGATAATTATATTAAACAGAAAAGTGGATTATAAAACAGTATATACAGTATGATCCCATATACTAAAATATTTAATGTTAGTGATGAAATTATGAATTATTTATATTTTCTTTTTTTGCTTATTGTTTTCTGGTTTTTCCACAGTAAAATGTGTTTTCTCTCTAAAGAAAAATAATTGCAATAAAATGATTATGTTGTTTTGGTTTATTTTTTTAAAGGTTTGTGAGGTTGTGAGACCTTTACCCTGCTAGCTGGCTTAGCTGTTCGTCTTTGCTTCCCTCTAGTCCCCTGTATTTCCCTTTATCCCAATATATTGTCATAGTCATCACAGTGTATTATCACTTATCACTCTAACTCCTACATCTATATTCTTGGTGCACAGAACAATGTCTGGTGCTAATCCTTGTTTCAGTCAGTAAATACTGCAGTAAGGGAAGATGTAGCAGAGGTGGGAATGAAGGGGAGAGAGAGGGGAATTGGAACCAACCTACAGAGATATGTATCTGAGGTTATTTTTCCAGCTTCATTCTTCAAGATCCAAAAGTAAATTGTAGGTGGTAAATTTCTTGCATAATTCTTTATAATAATCCAGAAAATGGGTTGAAAGATAAAAAAAGACTTTGGTTTCAGAACCACATATCTTTAATTGTGGGAAACCAAAAGTGTAAGTAAAGGAATTTACCTGCAAAAAAAAGAGGTTCATACATTTAGAGATGCCAGAGTGAATCTTTCAGAAATTATTGATACAAATGAAGGCTATTTCGGTAGAGAATGCTGTTGTGCTTCCCCTGCCCCCACCCTCATTTTCCTTCCACCCGTTGTATCCAGAAAGCCATTTTTAACCAAAGACTTGGCAGATGAGGGAGTTGTTGCCTGGATGCCTTTCAGACTTTTCTGGGTGAAAGATCCTAAGGGAGCTTGGGGACTGCCCCTGCTGGCCCAGCTGCTCATGTCATGTATCTGTTTAAACATTTAATTTGATTGGGGGAAAAGCCAGGGAAATGAGCTTAATATAACTCCAGTGTTATTCTTCTTTCCAGGAAGGGGAACAGTTTGTGAAGAAAATCGGTGGTATTTTTGCCTTCAAGGTGAAGGATGGCCCCGGGGGTAAAGAAGCCACCTGGGTGGTGGATGTGAAGAATGGCAAAGGATCAGTGCTTCCTAACTCAGGTCAGTGCAGTAATGACCAGTTACAGGAACACAGACAAGTTCATAAAGGGAAGTGGGAGTCTGCTTTGGTGTTCCCAGAAAGGGCTGGCGTTAGACCTTGTTAAACTAGTGAATCCGTGGGAATCAGAATAGGTCACAGCTGCCTCCTTCCAAAGACTGGGAGACTATCACAGAGTCGCTAAATCTTAGGCTTTGGAATTAGACAAACTTGGGTTCAGGTCCTGGCCTTGCCACTCACCAATTTTGACCTTGAATAAATTATTTAACTTCTCTAAGCCTCAGTTTTCTGATCTGTACATGGGAATAGTAAGTGGTACTTGTCTCACAGGATTGAGGGGGAGGACTGAGAATTACCTCTTAATCTGTAAAGTACATGGTCCAGTATATGGTTTTGAGGCTTGAAAGACCCGTCTGTACTCATTATCACCACTTTGTCTCATCCCAGTCTTTGTTCCTTTTTTTCATTCACTGTCAGCCATGTATTCGCAGCTCTCCATCTCTTTCATCCCAGTATTTTTTGAACCACTCTAGTCAGCTTTTGTCCACATCACTACCCTGCAATTCTCGTCAAGGTCACCAGTGACCACCATGTTGCTAAATTCCCAGCCCTCATGATAGTATTATTCTTCCAGGCTTTCCCCTAACCTACTGGCTGCTCCTCCTTCTCCAAATTTCTAAACGTTGGAGTACTCGAGGCTCAGGTCTATCTCTGGGGGATCTCATTTAGTCTCATTCTTTAAAACTCTCTATACTGATGACTCCCAGATATCATCTGTGTGGACTGAGCCACTGAACTCCAAGGTGTATATCCGGTTGCTTAATGGACAAGTTTACTTGCATATTTAATAGGTATCCCCAAACTAACATGTAGAAAAGTGAGCTCCTGATCTTCCTCCCACTCCCTTTTAACTAGGTGCTCCCCCACTGTTCTCCCTGTCTCGGTAAGTTGTTGCTCTGTCCTGTCAGTTCCTCAGTCCAAAGCCTGGAGGTCCTCATGGCTCTTCTTTTTCTCACCCTCCGCAGCCCCATCCATCAGCAAATCCTGTTCTCTACCACTGCCACCTTGGTGTAAGCTTCCACCTTTTTTTGCCTCATCTCCCTGTTTCTAACCTTGCCCCTGCAGATTTCTTCTCCACACACCAGCTGGAGTGATCATTTTAAAAACTTAAGTCAGATTGTGACCCTCCTCTGCTCAAAACCATGCAGTGGCTTTCTGCTCACTCCGGGTAAGAGCCAGAGCTCTACAATGGCACCACATGACCTGGCCCCAGGTTTTTCTGCCTTGCTGCACGCTCCCTCACTTTGCTCCAGTCACATTGGCCTCCTTGCCCTTTGCTTGAACCTGGGGTGTTCGCACATCAGGGTCTTTCTACTTTGTTCCCTCTTCCTGGAATTGTCTTCTCTCAGATACCCTCATGGCATGTTTCTCATTTCCTTTGGGTCTTTGTCCAAATGTCACCTTCTCCAGAAGCCCTTCCCTAACCACAATTTTGAAATCACACCCCCATTACCATTCTATATTTTTCTTTATGGCACTTATCACTATCTGATATACCATATAATATTTTACTTATGTATTTGCTTCCCGCTCATCCTCTCCCCACTTGAATTGCCTAGAATAGTACCTGACACGTGGTAGACCTTCAGTAAAATAAATAATTAATAAATGAACAGCAGAATGAATGAATGGTGCTTAGTGAGCATTCAGTAAGTGGTAGCTCTACTGTATGTTTCTCTTGTTGGAAAGAGCCTGGTGCAACTAAGAAATATGATGGACCAGAACCAGGTTTTGGAGGAGTAAAATACCATGCTTTAAACTTTGAAAGTAATTTGATATATAACCAAGCCATTAAAGCTTTTTTTAAATAGAGAAGTGAAAGGCAGAGCTGTGTTTTAGAGGATGAAGCTAGTGCAGTAGACCAGATGAACTGAGAGAGACATTGATGAGAGACATCGGTCAGCTGCCTCCTGCACGCCCCTTACTGGGGATTGAGCCTGCAACCTGGGCATGTGCCCTGACCGGGAATCAAACTGATGACCTCTCTGTGCATGGGATGACACTCAACCAGCTGAGCCACACTGGCTTGGACTAGATGATTTGAGAACAGAGAAATCAGAGGCCGAAAGAGCAATTAGAAGGATGGATGTTGCCACCCTCTAAGTGAGCAGAAAGGATAGCTTGAATGTTGGCAGTAAGAAGAAAGGGATGCAGTTACAGGATCATTGCCAAGGATATTTGGGGTGAAATTGATGGGACCTGGAAGCTGTGCAGGAGAAGGAAGGAGGTGGAGTTCAATATTGATACATTTTGAGGGTGCTCCTGGAGGAAAGGTTGACATCAGGAGAACAGGTAGAAGGAAGGTTAACCTTAGCAGGGAGGGATGGATACTTCTTTCTCAGAGAGGGCAGGTAAATATTCAGGGGCATTTTGAAGTAGAGAGGAGGTCGGCAGAGCTTCTGGAATAGAGTTTAGAGCTTGGAGACAGGAGAAAATGTCAATAGCAGTGTTTCATATGCTATTAAATAGCAGTGTTTCATATGCTATTAAATCAGGAATCAACTAGAGATTAACAAAGAAAAGTTGAGCAGTAGTAAGGGCATCTATCTGGTGTGGGCAAGATGGAATTGTGAAACGTTCCTGAATTATATATAGTCTTTTTTCTCAAAATGAGTGGATAGAAAAATAGCTGTATGTTTGACTTCTATGAACTAGATTCTGTGACTTCTAGATTCTAGCTTTTAGAAAGAAAAAGAACTTTTGGGAAGTAGTGCCATTTTTTTTAATGACTGAAGGATTATAGGTACTTCAGGATTATATTCTGATATGCCCGGGCAGATGTTGAAGTGATTTAAAATTTCTTTCTGTTTTGTTATTGGTGTTTGTCATGAAAGATAATATGTTTATGGAAGGCTATTGCATAATTTCAGAAAAACCTTGTTCCCTGCATATGGATTCAGGCAGTGAGCTCTCCTCTCATTAGGTGCCCCATCCCAGACCTGAAGGGATTTTACCCTGGGGCAAGGTAATTTTTGCTGAAACCGACACGTGTTGGCAGCCAGGAGTGGTGCTGAAACATGACTTTCCCAGTAAAAGCCACCACTGGAAATTGCCAGCTCCTTTTACATCAGCCAACAAGCGACCATTTGTTAGAGATCAGCTACATTAAAGCATTAATAACCTGTCCTAGTTTGAACTGGCATCTTAGAGGATTGCTAGTTCGTTTGGCATATACATAGTGTTGAGAGATTTACTTACTGTTAATGAAGATTTACTTAAATGTATTCATTTGCTTATATTCTAAGAATTTGGTTAATGATTATACTTTAGATTTTGTACATTTTCCATAATCATTTTTTCCTGCCTAGGTGCCCATGAATTCTGCCCTTTTCCTCTCCTTTGAAACAATTCACATAGCATATCTCCAGGAAACCAACTTTGATTAGTCTGACATGACATGTTATTCTTTCATTCCTTTATTCTTTCTTTTCAGCACTTGAGTTTTCAACCCTGCCCTTTTGTGGGGAACATGATATAGAAAGCCTCAGAGTCTCCCATCCCCAAGGTACAGTAGAAAGAGCATAGCCTTTAGAGACAGCCAGACCTAGGTTCAGACCTTGGCTTTGTCATTTAGTAGGTATACATCTTCCCTGAGTCTAGTTGTCTCATCTAGAAAATGGTGAGAATAATTTCTATTCTTGGAACTGTTGTGAGGATTAAGTGAGATAAGGTACGTAAAGCAGTTTAGCATAGTAAGTGCTCAGTAAATCATTGCTTCCTTCCCAACCCATATATTAAACATTAATTTTGCGTGAACACATTAAATTTATCTAAGACTCCTCAGAAGGATGTGGGCAACTGAGAACGCATTTGGACTCATCAGATGCTGATGAATTAGTGAAGGCCTTTCCTGACCACCCAAAGGCCTACCTACTAATAGCTTCAGGCATTAGGATTCCTACATACGAGTTTTTTGGGGGACAGAGGGATAGCACAAACATTTAAAACAAAGCAACCCCTATATCTTTTATCAAGGCATAGATTGTCTGATTAGTTATTGGGCCATAATTTCACAATATTTTGAATTCTAAATTATTTGTTTATTCAACAAGAGTTTATTGATTGCCCTTTATGTGTCAAGCATGCTTCAAGAGTCTGGAAATATATATAGCAGTGAACAAACTGATAAGGGCCCTGCCCCCACAAAGTTTTCATGCCAGTGGACAAATACAGATAGAAAACACATATACAAATAAGGAAGGTAGTTTCAGATAAGTGTATTGAAGAAAAAGAAAACAGAATTGTGAGATAGAAAGTGGCTTCGTTTCTGGGAGAGACCAACTTTAAGGAGACATACTGTTGTTATATTGGTTGCCTAAAACACTGCTGATAAGTTTGATTTCTTGGGGAATTTTTCCTTTTGTACCTGAAACCTCTCATTTGTCCAAGGCAGACAAGGCTAATTTAAAAATGAGATTATTAGAGTCTTTTTTGTATAGTTTTTTTTTCATTATACTTTTATGATATTAAAATTAATATGTAAAAAACTTTGTGTTATATAAGTAATATATACTCAGTGTAAAAAAAAAAAAAGAAAAGATAGAGAAAATGAAAAAATTACTCTCCTGTAATCCCATCATCTACTTTGTGGGTTGAAAATCTACAGCCTATGGGCCAAATCCAGCCTACCACCTATTTGTTTTGTTTTGTTTCGTGTAAAATTTTTATTGAAGTCTAGCACTTAATAAAGGGCATAAGTCTGAAGTATACAACTTGATAAATGTTGACAAGCGAATGTATGTCCCAGATCAAGATGCAGAGTGTTGCGAGCATCCTAAAACCTCCCTCACACCTCCTTCCATCACTACCCACTTGAAAAAGGAGCCATATTCCTAATTCTGACACTGTAGATTGATTTGACTTGTTTTTGAAATTTGTAAGGCCCCAAAATAGAAACACTGCAAAGCTGCATCAACCATGGAATGAATAAATAAATTCTGGTTCATTCACATAGTAAAAATGAACTGCTACATGTAACAATATTAATGAATCTTACAATGGTGACCAAAAGAAGCCAGACCTAAAAGAGTAAGTATGCATGATTCCATTTAAAATATTTATTAAAATAAATCTTAGATGTTTACCAGTTGAAGGACACTAGGAAAAAATCTAGGAGATGAAACCATCAACGACATATTAGCAGAAACTATTTTCTGCTTTTAGTATTCTTGAGAATGTCAGGAGACTGTCCATTAAAAGTCCTCAGAATAAAAAAAAATACTTAGCATATCTAGATGCTTTTAGAATACCTGTTAAACAAATGATTGTTTACACTGCATATTTAATCAATTTTCTCTTGTTAAATGTTGAGGTTGCTTGTGATTTATGCCACATTTTACTGGGCTGCCACGGAGTGCTCATTTCCTGACTCTACTCTGGTCTGGATGTGATTCTGTTGCAGTCAGTTGCTTCTGACTGAACTGTATACATAAAACTGAACCGTCCCCTTTTCTCTTACCTTCTGTATATCTCTGTTTTAGATAAGAAGGCCGACTGCACAATCACAATGGCTGACTCAGATTTGATTGCTCTAATGACTGGTAAAATGAACCCTCAGGCGGTAAGTCTAAGGGCACTTACATCCTTCCAGGAGGTGTGTCTTCTAGCTCATTCCACTTTATCTCCTGCCTCAGTCTCTTGTCATAAAGTACAAAGTGGTCAAACCCACAAAACTCAGTGTTCACTTAACAAATGACAAACGTGTGGAGCAACTAACGTGCCAGACACTCCCCTGTGTGCTGGAAATGCCCAGACGAATAAGAAATAGTACTATGCTCAGGGCATCCACAGTTTGGTGTAAGACAAATCTGCAGAAGAGTAAGTGCAGCCAAACATCCAAAGTGCCATGCTGAGTGTGGTCAGGAGGGTGGGTGGAGGAACAGCCATGACTTTCTGGGCCCTCGGAAAGGCTCACAGAGGAAGTGACCCTGGAGTTGAGTCCTAGGGGTTCAGAAGTGAGCATTGCACAGGTGGGGAGTAGGAGCAGTCCAGGTGGAAGGAGGGAGAGGTGTGAACAAAGGTGTGACTTTTTTTACATTTCGTATCTTTGCCCAAGCTTTTGCCTGAGCTGTCCTTCCCTGATAACTCGTTGTCTCTCAAATTAAGCTCAGATGTTATCTCCAAAGACCTCCTTCCAAGTTATTCTGGAGCTGTAGCCACTCTCTCTTCTGTTCCACCTTCCTGGGCTGCTAGCTTAGCACTTGTCACATTATATGAATCTTAATGTGCTCCTTCTCCCCATTAGATTGTGGTTATCTTAAAGCAGGGGTGGGGGACGTCCGGCCTGCTGGCCATATCTGGCCAGTGAAATCGCTTGGTCTGGCCCTGCCAAGGCAACTGTAGGTGGGACTAAAAATTCAATAAATTTAGGAGCTTTTTTCATAGCTAATTTTTAAATTGATAATTTTGTATGGCCCTCGAGTGGTATTATAAATATCCAAATGGCCCTTGGCAGAAAAAGGGTCCCCCCACCTCGTCTTAAAGTAACAAACCACATCTTATTCTTGTCTCCAGCACCTAGCACATTGCCTGACCTTTTTTAAGTTTTCATAATTGCTGGATTATATTATATTTGTCTGAAAAGTATTTATGCCTTGTATAGATTTTCCTGGCCCCCAAATTGTCCAAGATCTTCTATATTTTTTAGTTGCTAGTGCTGAGCAGACTGCTGTATACTGAGCTTTCCATTAGCCATAGATAATAAAAAAGAAACTAAGCTGCTTTTTTCCATTGTAACTTTACTTTTTTTGTTGCCTCAGCCTGATTTGTTTTAGGTCTCATTCCTGTGGTCCCCTGATACTTTTAAAGATTGGATAAGACAACTAAATCTGACTCCCACTTGTATTCCTTTTTAAAATGCTTTTTCTAAGCAACTAAGCATGTTTCAGTTAATGCGTTGACAAACGAGAGATATGCATCTGTGACTTTTCAACCAAATACGCACCATTGGCACTGACATTTCCACCCACCGAGCCCGCTCCAAAAATCTGGACAGAACAGAGGCCACCAGTATAGGAGCTGGCTGTAACTCTCCTTCCCACCCACTGCTCCTCATTCCACTGCGCACTCACTCCGTGTACTTCCTTGGCAGGGTGATCGGACTTCACACAGCAGCCACCCTCAGCTTGCTCAGTCTTATCTGTTTACCACCCATTTTGGAGAGTGAAGTGTCAGCTTGTTTTCCTTGAGCACCTGTTAGCACCCAAAGGAATTAAAGATAAAAATGACAGACCTTTCTATTAATGTGCTAATGGCCTTCCCTTATGCTCCGTAGAGGATTTGACTGGAAACCATTAACTGCAGTGGAAATTACAGTTTCAGTGTTTGGCTGCAGTTGAAACAAAGCAGTGTGCTCTCCAGCAGCAAGCACGTATGAAGAACACCTAGGGCCAGATTAAAATGATTCTCATGTCTGGATTCTCAAGAGCGAAGATTCATGTGTTCTCTATAATAATTAGTAAATAAAAAGTCATAGTCTCTTTTAATTTAAAAAGGGGAAAGATGGCGAGTTTCTCTTCTAGGTACCACTGGTCCATATTTTTAAAGGACATATGTTAAATATATTGTGTTCTGAGACACCTGACCTTTAAGTCATCAGACAGAAGGCTGTGTGCCATATAGGAAGGAAATATTTAGTTTGTCCAGACAGAAGAGGGGAAAAAAAAAGAATTAGTCACCCTCACTAGAAGGTGTAGAAAAAGCAGGGCTCTCTGCATTCCCATGGATGAGGCGGAAGAGCTCCCAACTTCTTAATGTACTTGTTAAAAAGCTAAGACTACCAGGAACTTTTTTCTTCTGGCCCTTAATTATTTTAAGAATTCAGTGAAAAAGACTGAGATCATAGCAGGGAAATCAAGCTGTGTCCCCGATTTTGCAATTTCTCCAAAGTTTCCCCGGGATTTTGTTACATGATAGATTTAGTGAGCATCATGTGATCTAATCCTGGACAGTTGTTAAGTGGAACAGATCGTGGCTCTGCACTTCGTCCTGCTGGTTTGATTCTTTTTTCTGAGCCAAAGATTAACACCAGCACCTCAGTCCTAGCAGGCTGCCTGGCCTCCCTCCCAAAGGATAAGTCCTTTATCGTGAAGACCAAAAAGGAAAAAAAAAAAAAATGGTGACATTTCATCCATATCGTATTCCAAGAGTCTCTAAGTGTGTTAAGCTTGTGCTTTTTCTCTCAGCAGACTTCTGAAAATTTCAATTCATGTTCCTGATCCACATGTAATGTTTTTATTTATTTTTTTAATCCTCACCCGAGTATATTTTTTTCCTTTGCTTTTCAGAGAGAGTGGAAGGGGGAGAGAGAGAAAGAGAGAGAGAGGGAGAGGGAAAGAGAGAGAGAAACTTCAATGTGAGAGAGACACACCGATTGGTTGCCTCCCATACTCATCCCAACCAGGGCCGGGGATCAAGCCTGCAACCAAGGTACGTGCCCTTGGCCTGAATTGAACCTGGGACCCTTCCGTCCTCGGGCTGACACTCTGACCACTGAGCCAAAGCTGGCTAGGGCAACACATGTAATGTTTTTAAACAACCCAACCTAGCGTGAACCCACTAAGCCTAATATTTGGAAAACGTACCACCATTGAGGAAGGCAGGTAAAGGCAGACTCAATTCTAAAAGAAGACACAGTATTTGCGAAAGCTGTGCCTTTTGACTGCTCTTCGCAAAGTATGGCTTTTACAGTTTCTTCCTGTTGAAGAATATGGTTCTAAATCTATTCCAGGAAGCTGAGTTTCATACTTTGAAGAAAGCATAAGAGACCTGATAAATAAATGATCTCAGGACTCAATAGTATAGAAATATCAGCAATCTCAAAGCAAATAACACCAAGTAATAAATTTTCTTTCTTCTTACTCACAGGCCTTCTTTCAAGGCAAATTGAAAATCACTGGCAACATGGGTCTGGCCATGAAGTTACAAAATCTTCAGCTCCAGCCTGGCAAAGCTAAGCTGTGAAGAACTTCCTGTGCCTACCTTTGAAAATAAAGATGAGACTTACAGATATATATCCATATATTCACTGTCAGAACTTAGACTGAATCCATGTATTGGCAAATAGCATGAGATTTGTTTTTAAATGGGTGTGACCAATCCTGTTTTTCTCAAGCTCTGGGTGAATAGAGCCTGATGGTATACTACTGCTTTGCTGAATTGCATACAACTGTGCATGACAAAGTTAATATGGTAATTATGGTTTGGGGTAAAATTGAGTTTCAGAATAAAATTAGGAACAGCAAAATCCAAAAACTATGTAAACAAAAGCTCTCATTTTGCTTATGAAGTATATTTGAAGATTGTTCTGCTGAAGGTTCAATTTAAGTTTTCCTTGGGAGAACTAGGGGAGAAACAAAATACCAGAAGCTGGCCAGTAATTAGTGTGCACACTTAAGGACCTTAATCTGTTTTCCATTAATAGTTTTTAAAATTCTGTACTGGGATTAAAAAAATTTAAAATTTTGGATTTTGTGCCATCAGAATGGTATTTTCTTCCCAAATCTAAATAAAAGAAATATGATCTGAGCTTGGGGGAAATTTTTATAGCTGAACACAGGCCTATTTTTAAAATAAAAATATTTTTAAATTAGTTTTCTTCTTGAAAAATCAGTGTTAAATTATTTTAATAAAATTTGCTTTGAGATGCACAGTTTTAAAATTATAATCTCATATTAATTTAAATTTATAAAGCTTTCAGTCCTTTGTTATAATTTTCCTTTTCATATGTTTAGTTTAATGATCCACATTAATCTTTCTTCCTAGTTTTTGTAATGCTAATGTTATTTCTTATAACTCAGTAAGATATGGGGTAAAATAATGCTTTTGAAAGAATGTTTAATAGAAAATTAAAATAGCTCTTCCTGATCTCCTTTGTTTTTGTTGCCTTTGTTCTTTTTGTTCAGGGTTGTCTAAATGAAGGAGATGAAGAGAAAGAGAAAGATTGAGGGATTTACAATCTGTGTCACCTAGATGTTATCTACTGGTCACTTTGACACAATCACCAGTTCTTGATTAGGGAGGCCAAGGGTTACTGTGGAAGGAGCACTGGACTAGGAGCCAGGAGTCTTGCTTCTCTTAGGCAAATAAGTAACTGCCTGCTTGGTCTGTTTGCTCAACTGTTAAAAGAGGGGATTTGAGTAGATGGTCTCCAAGGTTTCTTATGCTCTGATCTTCCTGTGAGTCTATTGAGAGCCCAGAAGAACTGGGAGTTATCCAGGCCCCACCTTTCTGATCTTAACACTTTACTTCACCTGAAGAAAGTCAGAGGCAAAAAGCCAGATGGTTTCATTTGTTTAGATGTTTTTGGAGCCTATGCTAATCAGGACTGTGGATCAGATCCCCTTAGAACATTTAGCTTTTCTGTGACCAGCAGAATAGCATTTGGTGATGGGGCAAGATGGTAAATTAAGCCAATACAATTGCTCAATTCCCATAAAATGAATTCAGAATCCAGACCTATTTCCTAATCATAGTCTCCTCTTACTCTGAGATGAAAGACTTCAAGAGAAAAGTTCTCACAAAATGTCTGAGTACCTGTAGTTTGTATTTATTTACTGCATCATTTTTGTCCGGGATAACAAGCGATACCTGAAACAGGCTTTAGGATGAGCCTGAAAAAACAAAAACAAACAAAAAAGAAAGCAAAAACTGGTTCTTGCAATAGAAATGTATTCATATAAAAGTGCAGTTTATAGGTATAATAGAGAATTATTTAATGATAAAATATAGCAGCAATTTAACTTCTAGGGAAACATCATGATTTGGAGGAAAAGGGTTAACAGGTCTGGGTTAAACTGCTGCTGTTACTGATTTTGCTACTTGAGCAAGTTGAGCCTCAGTTACCTGATTTATAAAGTAAAGATATTAATATTGACCTCCTAGAATTATTTTAAAATACCTAAATTAATGTTAGGTACATCATAGTCATTCTTAGTTCCATCACTGTAAATGGGAGTTCCCTTCCTGTCCCCACCACTGTCTCTACCTCTTACCTCTGTGATATGTGATATGACGTCAGTAGTGGTTTTTTATGTCCCACTTTTAGAATCTTTTTTTATTTGTTCATTTATTGAACAAATATTTATCAAGTGCTTACCTTACACAGGGTGCTATATTGAGGGTACAGTGCTAGGCACTGGAGACAGTGGTGAGCTCCTCCCCTCACAGTGCTTACAGTCTTAGTGGAAGCCACCGTCAGTCAGAGATGAATAATTCCTACAGACTGTGATGTGCTTGCAGGAAATGGTCAGGGTGCTGGGATGGAGAGTCACAGTGAGGGGTGAGGGGGACATCTCTGAGGAGGTGATATTTAAGCTGAGATCTAAAGATTGAGGAGTGAACCATACAAAGAACATTGCATGAAAGGCTAGAAAGGGGCTTGGCGTGTTCCAAAAATGGCAAGGAAGCCAATGTGAGTGGAGCACAGTGAACAGGAAGGTACTCAAGAGCTGGTGATATTGGAACCTGTTTGGCATGGTAAGGCGTTTGCATGTCATTCTTAGTGCCGTTGGGAGCTGCTGAAGGTGTAGCTTCACATACGTTTATTTTTCACTCATGCTGCGTATCTACTTTGTCATGATATCCTCAGTGAAGAGCCCAGTCTAGTGGAACAGCTACTGTCTGGAGCATCGTGACCGTCATGGCAGAGGAAGAGACAAAGGTAAAGTACACATTGACTCTTACAGTTTCCACCCAGAAATGATCCATATTACTTTTGCTCCCATTTCATTATCCAAAGAAAGTCACATGCCCCCTACCCAACTTCACAATCTTACCATGTACCAGAAGGAGAGAATGAAGGTGGGATATTTGTGAAAGAACTGATGAACATCACAGGAGGGCTGTAAGCAGGGGAATGAAATGATGTAAGCTGTCACTGTAGCTGCTCTGTGGAGAATGTCCTGAGGGTAGGGGGCTGGAGAGTGGATGTCCAGGTGCAAGGAGATGCTGTCCTGGACTAGGGTGTCAGTGGTGGAAACAGAAGTGGAAAAGTAAGCAGAGGTAGAGCTGACTGAGTGTAGGGGCTAGAATGACTTCTGGTGACTGGCCAGGTGAATAGTGGGTCATGATTGGAATGATGAGGGGACAAGCAGGTTTCAGGGAGAGGGGTTGAAATAATAAGCTCCACTTCTGAACTTGTTAACTTTAAGATGCCTGAGAGATTTCCCAGTGGAAATAGCAAGGAGGATTTGCAAGGTAAGGTCAGCTTGGAGATGCATTCTGAAGTCATGAGCATAGGGGCGATCTTTAAAGCTACAGGAATGGCTGATATCACCTGGGGAGAGAGGAAGGGGGTTGGAATAAGCCTTGAGGAACTTCAACCTTTAGAGGTCAGGCAGAGGAGGAGGAATCTGGCAGTGGAGATGAGAAAGAGGGGCTAGAGAGGTGGAGGGAAATGTCCCAAGAAGAGAGTACAGTATAGCCCAAAAGTGGGGATGATCAGCTGTTTCCTATGCCCCTGTGAAGTCCAGTAGGATGATGTCTTAAAAGTGTCTATGGGATTAAATTTGGCAACACAGAAGTCACCGGTGATCACTGCAAAATCCGTCTCAGTGCAGTAGTAGGGTAAAAGCTAGATTGGAATTGGTTACATAAAGAGCTATCAGTAAGAACAGGAAAGTTCCATTTGGTAGTGATATGTTCAGTTTCCAAGTGATTAATATAGAGCAAGCACTTTAGCTAATACTTTTAGATCTAAATTAGGCCATCTTACATGTGCTGGTCTCTGTGTCCACCCTCACCAGTCTCCCTGCCCCCGCCCCTGCTTCATCCATTTGGCAAGTTCCTTTTCATCCCTTTCATGCCTTAGCTTTCAGGAAGCTGTCCCTGTTTGTCACAAATAAAGGTAACCATTCCTTTGTAGTAATTTGTTTCTGTCTCCCACTGAGCAGAGAGCTCCTTAAGGGCAGGGAGAACTGCATCACACACATCCGTTTTGATACCCCCAACACAAAGTCCTTGCTTACTGTCATTAAGTGAATAAGTAAGATAAACAGAATATTTTATATTCACAGGGGCCATTGCTGAGGATAGGAACCTTGTCACAGAAATGCATTCTCTACTACAATGACCCTCTGTTGCCCTGATGATGAAAGATACCATTAAAAATTCTCCGTTAGCCTGACCATCCTGCTCTTTCTTTGAAAATATTTGCAGCTTCTCAGAACAGAGTTCAACTTAAGATTGAAGCAGCCCAAAATAATAAATGTGGAAAGTCACTTTGTTGTGGTTTTATTGCATGTTTTTTAAAAAGTGGCCTAGTGGGTTCTGTATGCATTAAAGTCAGTGGTCTTGTTGCTATACTTGTCTAGATGAATTCCAACTCTCAGGCTTCTACTATCTTTGTTGAATATGTAGAAAAACAATGGAGAGCATGATTAGGAAACTGAGGGTTGAGGTGGGGGGCAGGGGAGTCACTGAGGTGTGATCAGAAGAATCTGGAATCAGGGCCTGTCTGCCTCCTGGAAGCTAAGTTAGGACAAGTCATTTAAGCTTCACCAGCCTTTAGTTTCTTCCTCTGCACAAGGCTGATGCTGCTAATTTTTTTTGGTCTCTATGACAACAATAGAAACACTTATGTTATTTATCTTCATGTCTTAGTACTAATACAGTGTCTTCCAGAATACCCATGAATAAAAGTTTCTTGAAGAAATGAGGATTAGACAGTGATCCTTAAAGTTCTTTTTATTTTTTACTTATTATTTTTAAATCCTCACCCAGGGATATTTTTTCCATTACTTTTCACAGAGAGAGGAAGGGGAAAAGGGGAGAGAGAGAGCAACATTGATGTGAGAGAGACACATCAATTGGTTGCCTCCCGCAGGTGCCCCAATCAGGGCCGAGGATCGAGCCTGCAACCAAAGTACGTGCCCTTGGCTGAAATCGAACTCGGGACCCTTCAGTCCACTGGCCAGTGCTCTAACCACTGAGCAAAACTGGCTAGGGCCCTGAAGTTCTTTTTAAATGGTAAAATACCTTTTCAAAGGTTCAGTCACATATAAATATAAACTTCTATTTTCCTTGTATATATTACCTTAGAAAAAAGAAATATGAAATTAAATCCTATAATTAACAGCTTTATCTTCTGAAACTTAAGCAGTTTCAGAAAATAATACATTTAGAGCAGCCTGGTATAGTGGAAAAACTTGGGGCCCATCAGATGAGGGTTTGGTCCTAGCTCTGGCACTCACACAGCTTTGGGACCTTGAAATAATGACTCTGAGCCTGTTTCTCCCTCTGTAAAAGGGGAATAATAATGCCTACCTGTTGGCTGTAAGAATTAGCAATTATAGCTGTAAAAAGTCAAACATATAGTAGGTATTCAAGAGCTAGGTGGTGCCTAATGTTATTTGAGAATTTTAACGAAGGAATTTATTCATTGGAACATTTTGTGACAACCCTTTGAATTCAGATAATTAGCTGGTTTCAGGGGACGAGTTCCATTTTTTATTGACTATCTACATTCTTACATTTTCCTCAAGAATCATCAAAATTTAATAGTATCTGTAACTGAGTGAATGAATATAGAATTATTTGTCTGATGTTCAGAAGTTTTGCATTTCAGCCAAAGATTATGGCTCTAGCTGCTATGGCATGGTTGCTTTTTGAACACAAAGAAGTTGCTTGATGTTGT